TGTGGCGGCGGAAAATAGACTGGAAGTCGTTGCAATGTAAATATGGCGACGTGCACAGCAAAAGTGTTATTTACACAGTACAAAATATTTTAATGAAAATACCGAAATTAAAACTATAAATATCAGTAGCACTGTATTTTTGCTTTGCATGACTGATAAGACCGAATCAGAATTATTTATAAAGTCCTCCGCTTTTTCCCATGGGGTCAGCAGCGTTTTCAAACAAACATCTTCGGATTCGCAGTTTTAATCTGGAGGGGAGGCGGAAACGTAGCGGAAACGTAGCAAAAGTCTTCGTTTAAAAAAGTGTTTTAGCTGCATATTAGAATTGATCTCTGTCTATATTAAAATGACTGAAAACACACATCAAGTGGCCATTCACGTACACTGGGCATGCACGTGCCAGTGTAAACAGGAAGAATATTCTCTCCTCCATTGTCAAAAATTGGTATTTTGGTCTGGATGGGAGATGCAAACATAACAAAAATTCTGCGTTTTTAAATGAAAACATAGTAGTGTAGATGTAGCCTCAGACAGATCACCAACTGTAAACTTAAAGCCCCCCTCCAGTGTATTTTGACATATCTATGATATTTCATGTTTTTCTGAGTCATTTCCTTACAATGTTGATTACCCACATAGTTTGCCAAATATTTTTTGACAAATACTGTAGCTTCATTTTGTGCTCAAAGTTGCAAAAGTTGCTTAGTTGTTAAAACGGGGTGCTGACGTATGACTACAGTAATTCCATAAGTCATACGTCATTCTCCAAGCTTGCGCATGCGCACTTTCATGCCTCGTTAGAAAACTGTCACACCGTCATGCCTCGTTAAGTCAGAGCATCAAACCGATAAACATCGTTGTGAGCTAGCTAACCAATTTATCATGTAATTTACTTAGAACAGTAGGTATGTCTCTCTGTGTCTGATTGTTGGTTTGTCTTTCTAGTTTAGTGAGCTAAGTTAACTAAGTTGTAGTTACCAGGTGTAGTTAGCTAGCATATTTATTGCAGAAAGTTAGAAATCAGAGGGTCTTAATTTTATTTTTTAGTTTCCTCCTCTTGGTTTAGTGTGCTGTTCATTTTCATTATGGCATTTGTGCGTGCGGTGTTGGAGGACAGATGACAGAAAACGTGTCATACTTTCACCTGCCACCGTCTTATGTTCAGTCTGCAACATGCATTTTACTGAGGGCCGTTTTACCAATGCATCGGTGGAGGCACCCCCCACCCCCGCGGTAAAGTAAGCGCACCGTAAAACGTAGTGGGAGTTAGCGTGTGCAGTGCGTGACAGGACCATCGACGTGGGCTTTAAAGCCCCCCACTCTCGCCTGGCCAACGAGCTGAAACAGTTCTGCTGTTGCTTCGAGAGTCAATTAGTCAGTCCTAACACCATGCTCTGTCACCCCAACGATCAGCCCCTGCACCAGCTCCTCGTCAATAGGCCATCCCGAAAGCAGAACCCCCACAAAGCAGCTGGGCCTGACTCTGTCCTCCCATCCACCCTGAAGAACTGTGAAGATCAGCTATCTCCAGTGTTCATGGACATCTTTAACACCTCACTGGAGACATGCCATGTGCCCAAAAAACAAAGATCACAGGACTTATTGACCACAGACCGGTCGCTGAGACCTCTATTTTAATGAAACCTTTTGATGAAAACCATCACAGACCCACTCCTGGACCCCCTGCAATTCACTTACTGAGGCAACAGGTCTGTAGACGCAGTAAACATGGCCCTTCAATTCATCCTCCAGCACCTGGACTCCTCAGGAACCTACTTCTGAGGATCCTGTTTGTGGATTTCAGCTCTGCTTTCAACACTATTATCCTAGCTCTGCTGCAGGACAAGCTCTCCCAGCTGAGTGTGCCTGACTCCACCTGCAGGATCAATCTTTCATTGATGTATGAACAGGGAGTTATCTCCGGAAATTGTGGATTTATCATCAGCACAGAATAAAACCTATAGGCTGCAGTGTCCTTTATAACACAGTGCATACATTAAAGCAGCTGTCAGGTTGGCAACAGTTGCACTGAAACACTTACCATGGGCTACATTACTGTAGTAGCCTAATAACTAATCTATAAAACTGATCAATGAACAGTAATCTTTTTATAGCCTATTGTAGTTGCACTGATTGAAACTTTCCTATTGTTTGGACTGGATATGATGCGAATATTTCTGAGCGTTTTTTTGAGGATGACTGGTGCAACTAAAACAAAAAAGTGAGTTTTTCATGGTCATGAGTAGCCTAAACTGTGTCTGATCTGTTTGATTAATATTTTCATCTTCAGTTATTGCCATCGGCATTTTGTCCTGTCAGGTTACAGCTGAATTAATATAGCTGATTAAAAATGAATGTAATGGGCTCAAGGTGAATTCCAGCACTTTGTCATTAAGGGAAATTCCAGTCTGGTAAATGATGAATGAGCTACACTGTATAAAATGTAATATTGTTAACATATTGACTCCTTCCTCCAATCCTGCGTTTTAACATAAATAGCCTATGGTGGTCCGTGTTGGCACACATTCATATTTGCCCTGCAGATGATGCACTCCTTGCTCAGTTCAGCCTGCTAAAGTCAATGATGTACTTCTAAACCGCCATCACTGAGGCCATCATCACCTCCTCCATCACCATCTGGTATGATGCTGTCACTGCCAGGGACAAAGGCAGACTAGCGTATCATCTGCTCTGCAGAGAAGGTGATTGGCTGCAATCTTCCATCACTTCAGGACCTGTATGCCTCCATGACTGAGGCGTGCAGGAAAGATTGTGACTGACCCCTCCCCTCTGTACACAAACTGTTTCAGACACTCCCCTCCCGGCAGTAGGCTGTGGTCGATTAGGACCAAAAACTCATGCCACATGAACAGTTTGTTCCTGTCTGCAGCTGGCCTCATCAACAAGGCCCAGGATGCCCACTGACTCTGACTCATGCCCCCCTTCCCCTGTTCTTTTTTGCACAACATGTCAGATGATTCTGATTCTTCTACTGCACATGTAAATACTTGTATATATCAATGTCAAACTCATATTTTTTTAGATCTTTATATTCATATAGGTTTATGTTTATGTCTATTGTTGTTAAGCACCACAAATTCCTTGTCTGTGTAAAAAACAACCTGGTAATGAATCCATTTATAATTCTGATTCTTATTCCTAACCTAAGGTACCTAACACAGACTATAAGACCACAAAACCACCAAACTAATTCCTGGCTCAGTATTCTTGCACAAAGGGCAGAGGTGACCCGTGAACACCCAAGTCCATCTATCCTTGAAAATCCAGATTTTTATGGTCATACACTTTATGACTCTGTAATTATACAATCGGTACCCAGTATTTAAATAATAACTACAGTATAAGTTATTTGTAAAACCCCATATTGTTACCCCCATATTGCATAACTTCACACCTTATTCCCCAGTACCTACATTCAATTCAATTTAATTTATATAGCACCAAATCACAACAACAGTTATCTCACAGCGCTTTTCATAAAAGAGCAGGTCTAGACCGTACTCTGTGATGTTATTTACCCAACAGTTCCCACCAAGAGCAAGCACTAGGGAACAGAGGCAAGGAAAAACTTCCTTTTAGAGAGAGAGCGAGAGAGGAGAGAGGCAGCCTACATAATATACACACAGAGGTACAGACAGTAAAGGTGATGTTGCTACAGACTGAATGAATAATGGTACAGATATTTATAGTAATGTTTATGATAATACTCGTAATGTTAATGATTATAATAATAATAGGACTAGTAACAATAATTGTAGCAGAGGGTGTTGAGCAGGAACATGTATTGGTACATACTGCACTGGTATTCTGTTTTTACACCATAACTCTGGAGTAATTACACAATATGTTACGGCATGACCTAAATTTTTAGTCATAAACTAGTGTGTGCACATCCCAGTATAACATTAGGTGCATTTGCAAAATAGGCAAAAACACTGTCATGAAAAACACTGAACAGATGCTGCTAAATATGTCATAATTTAATCAATAAAGCTTTTTTGGTGAGCATCTATTCAGTGTGAATGCACATTTGATTTTTAGCCCAAAAATGCATCGGGCCAAAAGTATGCAGCCTTGAATTTGGCCTTCAACAGGGAAGATGGCACAATGTTTCATGTCAGCTGTCCACAGTGGACCATTCTCATATTAACAGTAGTGATCTTTCCAATGTAGAAGATGGGTCCACAGGAGCTACTGTAACTGACATTATCTAACTAATAATAATTGTGGAATAATATAACAAAACAAGGCTATTTATTCATTCTGTAGATTGAAGACGGTTATAAGGTTCTATTCTAAATGTCTCCAGTCAGTTTCCAAAAACTTTCAGTGGTTTTGACCTTTTGCAGCTCTCCCTCACCTCAAATGTTGCAAAAAGCTGTTTTGTTGATCGCCCAAATTCTGCACACGACTTTTGATGTTGTTGGCATTTACGCAATCATCTCTTTAGCTTCACTTAACAGTAAAGATATTCCAGCTGTACTCAGGTTGTTTTTTTTTACTCAGCCAAAGGGTAGATTTGTGCTGAGTGCTCTGCAGATGTCACTGCACATGCTCAGAGACGTGGTTTTACCCTTCTACTCAGGGAATATGTCCACCAAATGCAAATCATTAGTTGCAGCTCAAGTCACCATCATTGTAAATTCCTACATACCTATAACAATTGAAACTCTAATTGAATTGAACACCATGGGGCCCAGTCTGTGAGGAACTTTGAAGAGGAAATTTTACCAGGAAATTTAACCATTAGCTAAACATGTCCCTGTCACAAACCCATCCCCTCCACCATTAGGTCAGCCTTCTCAATTGTGATTGGACCTACTGTATCTGTCCTAACTGCCCTCAGTTTCATCAAGTAAATAAATACAAAAACTCAGTGTAACCCCAGAGACAGTTAGGTGTGTCTGTCTCCTTCCTCTTGGTGGTGTCACACCTTTCCTCACCACCATTTTCTCTCTCTTCTTCTCCTCCCTCAGGCTGTGGCTCTGGGCCTGGACTATGTCAAACTGGGAGGTCTGAATGGTGCTGAGAGGATGACTAAATACAACCGGCTGATTTCTATAGAGGAAGAACTGGCCCAACAGGGAATTCTGGGTAGGATTTCTATACTTGTTTTTTTTGCCAGACAGAGAAAAAGGAGGCCAGACAAAGCCAGAGAGAGAGAGAGAGAGAGAGGTAGTAATGCCTGGGCTTGAGAATATATCACTCTGTTGATGTGAAAGGAAACTGTGTGTGAGGAATCATTCAAATGTGTATTTGTGCGTGAGTGGAAGAATGAAAACCCCTCCCCAGGATCTGTTAATTGGCTGCCTAATTGCATCCAGGGACAAATACTTTCCCATACATAATTTCCAAATAGCAGGCAGGGACACTGGAGGTTAATGAGAGATGATATCTGTGTGTGATCAATTTCCATCTTAAAAAGTTAACATGTTTATTCTGGCTGAAGCCCACAGTGGACTGGGGTGGAGTGAAATGCTCATTGTCCTTCAGCTGCAACAGCAGAAACCTTATTTCAGTCCAGTTATCTGAGGAATCACTGGTCATGCTTTTGCCCATTCACTTTATTCCATTATTTTGTCTCATCCACAGTCTTCAAGGAGAAGCACCCACCTCCACTGTTCACTGAAAAACCACTGGAGGAGTCCACAGAGAGAACTGTCTGACACAGCCTGCTCACATCTTCTGTTTCTATCAAGAACATAAACACTTAAAATTTGTGTCAGTGTTACCACAATATAGTTTACTTTCAAAATTCAATTGCTGTTTTCACTTGCTTGCAGGTAAGAACATGTAAAACCTGCTTCTATTCAGTTTCTAAAACCCTCAAACATGTTGTTGCTACTTCGGGTATATAGAAGCCATATTAGCAGATGCTATACGCTGCAGGTCCTTACACAAACACAAGTCTGCTTTCAGGTCACAATCAATCTCCTCCACCAGAATAGCCAAACTATTTTATTAATAATGTTTTGATCTGATAGCCCCCACCAAGACACACACACACAGAGCCATGTCAGTGTTGTCCGACAATGCCTGCCTCCTGTCTGTTTGGGACGTGAGGTAAAGGCCCCTCTTCATAACTGGTCAGCACCCTCGCTGACCCCTCTCATGGCTGCTCAGATCCTGGAGGAAATGATTCTGTCAGTGTGGAAAAACAGGAGAGGCCTGGTGGAGCATCCGCCCGGCCTGCGGCACAGAAAAAAAAGGCTGCTTATATACAGTGGGGAATGGAGGAGTTTCGCAAGTGCTTTGTGTACCAGCCAAGTACGGCTGCATCAATGGGCCTGTCAAGTGAGTTATCCCTTATTCACGGCTCTTTTCTATTACACAGAGAATCTGGCTGACACAGCCCTGCTGACACTACAATAGTCCTGCTAAACTCTTTAAGGCTGGAAATGAAAATTTAGACTGAAGGTGTTGATAGAAGTCGACACAAACCGACACACACATTTATTTCTTTTTTCTTTTATGTAACAATTTCACTTAACTCGTCGTGGTTTACATGAAGTTCTATTTTTAGATTATTTCTAGGTAGTACAATTGCTACCATTTTATTTCTTCATATCAGGAAAATAAATTAAATAACAAATGTTCTCCAGCCGCTAATTCTTCCAGTTTCATTCTATTTGGGATTATGGTTTGCTGGCAGCTTCCACTCAGCGTTGCTGTAAATGTCGGGGAGTGAAGACAACCTCTAATCAATGAAACATGCAGACAAACTGAGGCTGGACACAGCAGCATCTGAACTGAGGCTCCCTGGCAGGCAATTACTATGTTTCGGAAAATAAATGAAATGACTAACAAAATAGGTCAAATTAAGTGTTTCCCAGACACACTAAAAGGACCTTCCTAATTGCTGGTCCCTGAAGGGACAAAAATACAAAAACAACAAAACATTATATTGTATCTGCCAAAGACGAAGAGCTGAGAATGGGTTGTGGTGGAGGAGAGGCTGAGGGAAGAAAAGGACCCAGCATGGTTTGTGTAATTACATGTTTTGCCTCGATCGGCCGTGTCTGTACCGTCAGTCAATCAACAACAGTGAGTCCGGCGGCTGGAGCAGATGGTGGAGGAAGGAGTTGAGCCGGTCATTGACTTTGTTTCTGCTAAGGGAAGGAAGAGACAACAGATCCAAAGGACACTTGCGTCACTCCTCCTCCGAATCAAAGATTATATTGTATGTTGGCATACTATTGAATTGTGCCAGGATGGCCTTGATTAGAAGAACCTCATTAGATATGGAGGATATGAAGAGGCAGAGACATAAATCAATACAAAGACTTTCTCTTCTTTTTTCATTTTACCCCCACCCACTCACTGACACTTTATCCTCCAAGATGTCCAAGATAATTCACACATCCTCATACTATTGTCATGAGAAAATAGAGGAAAAGCCAAATATGCACTCTGCAAAACTGATTAGTTTATTGAATCTCCCCACAGACCATTTCTCTGAGATCCACTGTTGTGACTAAGTCTGCTGTTAAATAAAATTAGAGTGTGACTTCCTCTGCTACATTTGGTTCAGTGGAGTGAGGAATGAATGAACGTGTGGAAGATGAAGTAGAGTCTTGCAGCCTGCTGCTGATGAATCTTGTTAGAGAAGAGACTTTGAGCCACAATTACATTTCCTTCACACTCTGTTAGGGGGGATTGGGAGCTGGAAATTGCACCTCAGTGCTAAACGAAGCCTAAGCTTTAATTAACAGCAGCACACAATAGGTGACGGACATCGCCCACAGTTCACAGCTCTCATGTTTCAATCCCTCACTCAAGGAAGTGTCTGGGAAATCTGGGCAGGTGTCGAGGGAAAACAAAACAACACGCGAGCAGCCCAACATTGTGCTTAAATCACGAGCAGTCATTGTGATTTTCAAAGGGCAAAGGCTGATCCTCTGCTCCATACCTGAATAACACCCACCTCTGACTGAGGCTTAAAGGGAAAATCCACCCTAAGACACAGTTACAAAACAGCAGTGTTTTGCATTTGTGGACGCATTTTCATTTTATTTCATTTCCTTATATTAAATAAAATGAAAATGTTTATCATATCATAATGATTTTCCCAACTTAGATATAACAGAATTTTAGCACTACATTTTGACAAACTCCACTATGGTAAATCACAAACTTAAGTATATCAGACATGTCTGTAATCCACAATTACATAGAATGGAATTAACACTCTATGTACAGAGACATTCCAGTTGGAGCAGAGCTGAGATTTTGGCTCTAAACTAGACAAACTGGTTCCAACCGTGTCTTCTACAAATTACATCTATTTACTACTACTTTGTTTTGCCAAATGCATTCTGAGCGGAACGCAGGTTGATAAATTGTGGATTCAAGTCACAGTTGACATCTTCAAAATTATAAGAACACCATCTTACCTGAATCTTAACCTAGAGCTTTGGCTTGCTTAATGATGGCAGTACCACTTGGATATTTTAGGAAAACAAATGAAATACAGTATCAGTGAACATTTTATTGATACTTTCAACATTTTGGACTTAACTGTTGTTAAATGGTTCAATAGACATGTTCTGTCTATGTACATGTTCTGTCTGTTCTGTCTATATATGTTGATTAAATTGTAATCTGGGCAAAATTACGTCTCTCTTAAAATCTCTTTGCATTTGTCTGTTGAGATGCAAGGATAAAATTATTGCTGCTGTGATAACTTCCAGAGTTGTAAAATCTATCCATAGACAGGTTTAAAAAGAAAATAAAAGAAAAAAAATCTAAACATCCTCATAACATATGAATCTATATTAAATTATTAAATGACTGGCCTTTTTTAATTATATTCTTCTCACTGTTACATGGAGACCAATGCATGCCTTAATACAGCTGTTCTGTTTTTGCTCTAAATGCTCGCCATCAGTGCATCTCAAAGTGTTCGTCCCTTGATTTGCCCTGTATTCTCGAAGTGACATGGCCAAAGCTTGACATCCATTCTAAAGCAGGACAGGTAGTACAAACTGGAGGGTAGAGGCAGCAGAGAGGAGGCAGTGCCCTACATAAAGGATGGGGGGTGTAAGTGTGAGTGAGGAGCGGAACAGTGGAAACAAAGTCTGCCACAGTAGTCTGTACTGCTCACTGGGAGGCTACAAGGTTAATTCTGGTCTAGACTGAACAATTCAGAGACATACTCTGTTTAGGCAAAAGCTCAAGGCTGCATAACTGGCTCCACTGTTCCTCACAATCCAAACAAAAACTGGGCTTTACCTTAGAACAGCTGAATGAACCTTAAAAAGGTGGGGTGGGATACACATCTTTCATTTCAAGGAAATCAAATGGCCTCAATGTATCACTGACACGCTTGTGCTCTTAGTCCACATTCTGTGTAACCTCTGGCTTGATTATTTTTCTGATGTTGAAATCCACTGAAGACCTATGTGACTGTAGTACTGACTCCTCATAATACAGTCAAATTTATATTTTAAATGCAATGTGTCTACACACTAAAATAAAATGCTAGATATAGATTTTGCATTATGTGATCTTCCGTCACCCACATCCAGTGTGTGTAGGTGGATACTTGTGTCAGGGCCAACCTTGGTCTCGTGGCACCCTTCACACTGCTGGGGAGAGAATGGGATGGAGACCTGCACAAAGAGACAAACACTCACTGAAACAGTTTTACTCAAACTGCAGCAGGTAAGAATGACTATGCTGACATTCTGTCATTGAGGTGACATGATGATGTGCTGCTTCAGTAATTTACATACACATACATGAGATGGTGGCTTCAGTGTGAGCTCTGTTTTGTGAAGCTGATTATATTCAAAATCTGTCGTAAAACCCCAGATCACATGTACACCACTTTTTCACCAAAGGCCAAACATTTGAAAACATCTAAAATATAATTCTAACTGATGTTTAAAATTTTGTGAACACAGAAGATCAGTTTTTATTGTTTAGAGTGATTCATACTGAAACGGATGCCTTTCTGTGGGCTAATGAGCAGTCCTGTGACCTGCTTGAAAAAAGCTACATTTAAATCAACACTTAAGACCAGAAACTATTGACATACAAACGGACAACACATCAGGATTATTGAATAATAAAATTAATAAAGAGTCTAGTCTAGTCTCTCTCCTCAAGATGCATTACAGCCCACAGAAGGTTTAAGTGAAAGGGATTAACTTACTTGCGCTACTCCAGTGCATCCCGCCGCCTCAGCAGGATCCTCTGCAGTTCCTCGTCACGGTTGTTGACGGAGACACTGCCTTTAGTTGGGGAGGTTCTATTGAAATTCTCCTAGAGAGTTACAACAGAACATATATTTACATGCCGACAGCCTGTTCAACACAGAGCTGCAAAGTAGCCATTGCAGCTCAAAATGAGTACATGTCGTTTTGTTCAGCTGCTTGTCTGACTTACTGGAGTGGTAATTAACAGTACAACAGTAGCATAATATGTGCTAATTTAATCTGTTATTCTTCATCTTGTGTCTAGTATGTAAATATTGACATTAGCTCTTTAATGTTACAGTAATACTTTCTCATAGGTTAA